AATCCTTGTATACTATGATTTAGTGCAAGGGTCTTCAAACTTGGCAGCTTTAAGACTTGTGGACTTCAACTCCCAGAATTCCAGAGTTAACATGGCCGGAGGAGGAATTCTGGGAGTTGAAGTCCACAAGTCTTAAAGCTGCCAAGTTTGAAGACCCCTGATTTAGTGCCTTACTTGAGGCAATATTTACAGCAGGGTCAGTATTTTCAGAAATAGTAAACGGTGGATGAAAACACTTGTAATTTTCTGAAATGCTCCTTTCCTCACAATAAAATAAAATAAAAATAGATATTAGACTTCAAGGTTTTCTGTTCCCCAGCCCATACTTCCAGCCACACCAGTATACTCTGGGGATTTAGTAAATTTTGATTTTAGGGTAATCAACACTACAGAAGTACATTTTAGTGTTTACATTTAATTTCTAGTAGAAGTACATTTATTCAATGTTAGTGATTGTCCAAATAGATCCCAGATTGATGGAGATTAAATTGGGGGACTTGGCTGAAAAGAGCAAGTTTTGCAATCTTTGCACATCTGCTTTAAGCCTTTGACGTGGGTTTTACTCTCTGCCCCCTGAAGAGGAGGAGCCTTTTAATGGCTGGCCTGTTCCATTGGGTGCTTTGCTTGACACCCACTCAGGAGTCAGAAAGGGGGGGAGGGGGGTCGTGGGCTGCTAAATACCCCAGTTTCTGGATTTACACAAGAGTGGGATGGGTGAGGGGTGCAATTCTCCTTAAATTAGCAGGCACCTTTTTTTTTTTTGCAGCACTCACAGAATATTAATTTGGAGAAGGCACATGACAGCCCGCAACTCAGCATTTGAAATACGTAACCTTCCTCCTGAGAAGTGCCTTAAGCACCCAACATTCGGTGTGTTTTTAAGAAAGCTGAGCTTTTGCTTGGCTTGTAAGAAGCCGTAATCTTTTCCTTACAATCATTCTTGACTATCAGGGAGCCTAGAGATCATATAGCTGTACCTTTTCTTCTGGGGGCTTTTCGGGAAGGTTGCTTTCGGGAAGGTAGGAGAATCCAGATGGCGAATTATACAGGATCCTTGAAGGAGTTGGGGTGCACCCCTTTCTTCCCTCCTGCAGAGCCAATTTGTGATGAAAACGAGTCAAGGCAGGATGCCGTCTCCCTTTGGGTTTGTGCTGCAACCAAGCTTTAGACTAATAGTTTAAGACAAACTCGGGTAATAGAAACAAGGATATACACAGTTGTGCAATGGAAAGCGATGTAGTTTTTAATCCCAAGGAGAAACACACCTGTGAGCGTGGAGGGGCCAGAATGCTGAGTTGTTTGGGAAATGGCAATTTCTTTGCTCATGAACATGTTGAACCTGGAGATGTGGCTGAGGTCTAAACCTGTTGCATGTGTTTTGTTTTTATTTTTTTTTGCAACTATATATTTCCTCTGTACCTGTGTAGGAATGTGTGTCAATGTCTAGAACTTAGTTCTCATGATAATTGTAATTGTACTGTATTTACAGTATGAAGAAATTACTTGTTTTTTTTCCTTCTTAGCAGTTTTGTTTTTTTCCTTAGCAGTTAAAAGTAGCCAAACTAAAAAAACTCTGTGTGTGTGTGTGTGTGTGTGTGTGTGTGCGTGCACGCGTTCTGGGTAGTTCCACCTATTTCTAACCCTTCAGGTGCACTGGGAGCAAGAGCTGGATGCTGCCATCCTAACCATACCAGGGCGACATCAAGATAGGGATTGCGCCAGTCTGTCTGATCCAGGCTAAGCCCCCACCCCACCCTTGGTGGTTGGTTGACCTGGTCCAGGTGTGTCCCCCTCTCTTGTGAGTCTGCCTTTAGGCAAAGCCCAAAGGACATGCTAGCAGTTTACTCTTAGCCAGTAGTGCATGCCTGTATCAGGGAGGCTCCGTCTTGTTAAGGGCCAGGCGGCTGGTTTGTAGCAAAGGAGGAGAATCTGAATAAGGTCCTTCCCATCTTAGTGTCAGCTGCGCGTGTCCTCTCACCCCTATTTGGGCCAAGGCTGTGGAGAATGGCACAAGTTACGGTATATCAACTTGGAATATATCGGTTTAGAAGGGAAAACTAAGAGTTTTCCAAATCATTGTAAATAATATTGTCTTAAGTCACAATTGGCTGGACTTGTACTTTTAATGGCTCAGTGCAATTGTTTAAAAAGCACAATAGTTGGGCTCACAAGACACTGTGGAAACTAAACCATGCTATAATTTCTTGACGCATTAACCTGGCCTCTGTCAAATCTCTTCCATGTTCTGCTACTTTTAAGAAATCCGGGTATGTGAATAGTGTTAATAATATTGGACAAATTGTCATGTGTGAGTGATACAAACCAGCAAGCTTTCTGGTGCACTGAGATTTTAGTTCCCAGAACAACCAATTCTTACTTGCAAGGAAATTGCAGGTTACACCTTTACATATACCTTTGAGTGGAAAAAGCATTAGCATTTGCTAAAGTTTTGTTCAGCATTTACTTTCTCCAATATTGGTGTTAATTTGAGAAAAAAAATAGATAAGGTGGAACAATCTTCAGATTGGCTGGGTTAACACAGTACACAACATTTCAGCAAAACACAATTGCTATACCAAACAAATCATTTCTATCATTCAGATGAAGTCCATTTTGCAAAACCAGCCTGTATATAATAAGGGTCTTTGCATTTTCACATCACAAAGCTCCCCCGAGCTGCTAAGTCAAATTATTAATCACATTAGCTACTTCCACTCTGAATATTCCATGATATTTGTGCAAACTAGGGAGGGATGAATAGCACCCCCGGCTCACTATGAAGGTGCCCCCTTCCAACCAGAGTAGCCTCACTCTTTCATCCTTTAGGAAAGGGGTGTAAGTTGGTGCAGTTGTGTGACACTGAACTTTGACTGCATCACTTAACAATGGAGTTCAAGGACCAATTGCTATACAGGTATGGGATGATTTGAGTAAAGGTGGCCAGAACCCCGAAATGTTGATGTTTCTTCCTTTGAGCAATATTTCTGCATTGTTGGGTGTCTTTAGTAAAGTCAGGGGAAAGGATATTAGGACATTGGGGGAGGGGAGCTTCTGGTGGAGAATTTGTGGCCCTCCAAAAGTTGCCAGGCATTGGGTACGCTCCACCTTCTCTTAAGACTTTGGGAGACATGATAATCTCCTTCAAGGACCTGAAGGGCGGAAATGGAGGAGAAATGCTCAAGAATGTTCAAGAATGCAACAAATAATTCCGAGGGACGAGAATATTTAGCTACAATATATTTTTATAAAGAGAAAGTATAATTGAAAAGAAAAATTTAGCACATCATTCAATATTTCAGCATAATAACCGTTTATAGAAGGCACATTCTTGAGAAGGTCACGACATATGCTCCACATAAACTAATATTGCACACCGCTGCTTAAAGTCCTTTTTAGCTTTCTTTCCACAACCGTGGACTGTTTCCTGAAAATGGAATCAGCAGATCTGGGACGTCAGCTTTTTGACTGCAGGAAGCAAAGAGGCTCAGGGAGGCAAAAACAGATTGAGCTCTTTGAAAAAAACAACCACCCAGCACTACCATGCAATTAATTAACCGACTCTTCGCTGTTGTCTCAATTTACCCCAAATGTTTGGTCAAGTGGTATCTGTTGGCCTCTTAACCAGACTGGGATGAGCAGCAGCAGGCAGAGTATCTGCTGCCAGGGAATGTGCAGGACAGACACAAAAACCTGCAGAAATCCCCATCATCGTAGGTCCATAGAAGAAACCTTGCATTATTTTAATTTTGGATGAAGGATGTTTGCGTAAGATCTACAAGTAATCCTTGGCTTGTGATCAGTAAGACTTACAACTCTAAAGCACTTCCATCTGTCTTATCACAAACAGCCCCCACCCACGTACACACACACACACACACACACACACACACAGTCAAATGACTTCATTTTGGGTACTTCATTTTGGCAGCCAACGGGTTGAAGTGTCCCATGGTCACGTGACTGCGATTTGCAATGGTTTTTGAGAAAATGTCCATTCAAGAGAATGGACTCATTCAATAACCGTGTGAATTCCCTCAATCACTGCTGTAAAAAGTTGAAAAAGTTGGTTAGATCATATGGGTGTCTCAGTTTACAACTGTAATTACTTATGGCCAAAATTCCAGTCTGAATGAGAGCTGCTCAGCTGAGAACTCTTGGCTGGAGTGTGGAGTCTGCTCTGGTAGCTGAAATGCATCCAGGTGGGGGGAGATATGGATGGGGGGAATTTTAAGAGAAGTGGACACCCAGCCGGGAAGGGAAAGAGAAAGGACCTTGAATTTAAAAGCCAGACAGAAAATGGGAAGGAAGAACAGGGGGGGAATCCTGACTTGCATATATGCTTTGTCTAATAATTTAGATAAATCAGAGAAATATGTTTCAGATACATGGAACTACCAGAAGCAAATAACAAAAATAAATACATTTAAATGAAATACATAGCTTGTTCTAAAATCTGCTCTTGGAGCTGTTTGGCTCGGATAAACTAAGACTCCTGATAAATGTGCATGAGGCAGGAAAGAAACTCTGTTTTTTTTTTTTTACAGAAACAGTAACTTTACATTTTCGATGAGCATTGCACGTTCAAAGCAAAGAAGCAACTTTGGGTTCTTTGAAACAAAGTCAAGTATAAAAACCTTATTCACAAATATATCAAGATAGACTCTAAAAATCTTACCTAGGCATGGCAAGATGGCAGAGAACTGGATGAGAAGAGAGATTTAGGAGGGAGGAAAGAAAAAGGGGACGATTTCCTCCTGAAACCACGGGATTCAATTCACCACGTGAACTTTCAGTCTTCGAACGACAGAATACTATTCACCTAAGTTGAGGCATATTACTACTTACATTAATATATAGTAAGACATGCCCCACTGCGTGAACATAATTTTTTATACACATTTAAAAAACCCAAACGTACTTTGTTCCGTCCCCAAAACAGCTTTTCCCCCAGAACCTGGGCCAGCCAGCGAAGCTCAGGGCTGAGCGGTGGATATCGGATATCGGGAACCATAATCCACAGCCACCTGGAAGGGGCCATCTTGGGCAGGGGTAAGCCAGACATGAGCCCTGTTTCCTAACAACCTGATCCACCTCCAGCTGAGAACAGAATCAGGGCCTGGAGAGCGAAAACAGGCTTGGGAAAGGGGGCCGGGGGAGAGGAAGGGCTTCGGGAGGAAGAGTTTAATTCTCCCTGGACAAAACCTCACTTCCCCACTCTCTCTCTCTCTCTCTCTCTCTCTTGGAGTCCTTAATGGATACGGGGTGTTTTTTGTGTGCAACTTCCAGGAAAGATAAATAAAAAGTGCAAGACACCCCTGGAAGTGGCTTTTCACTAATCTACAAAGAATTTTTGCAGTTCTTTCTTTGTGTATTGTCAGCACAATCCCTGCAATTTTCTGACTCTTCTTTCTTCCGGAGGCCACTCCTGGGGGGGGGGGGGGGGCTAAAAGAGGAGAAAGGATTTTTAAAAGCTGTGGCTTGGGCTACATTTCTCTAGCTGGGTATCCCAAATGCTTTTACAAGGAGTGTTAAAATGCCTGAATTTGGGGACTTAAAAACAATTAAGTAAACATTTTTTTCCCATGAACTTTGATCCTGATAGGTGTGTCTCCCCGTGTTCAATGAAGACAAGTCCATCGTCAGGTTAAAAAACACTGCTGAGCTTGCAGGGCTAATTCTTGCAATTCTTTCCAATTCAAACTTATCAAAGCCTCAAGGTGTGCGCAAGGCCAGTTTTGTTCTCCAAACAGCTATTCGTAATCAAGCCAGATCTTGTCTTTTGAAGTCAGCACTGGAAAAAGGCCGATCTGGTAGGGAGGACGGTGCACGAGGCCTCGGGATCCCCCCAGCTACGCACACCTGGCCCCTCAGTCTCAGCCTGACGGAAACCCACGAGGAAGGCTGGGGGGCAACTGGCAACTTCAGTCCTTTGGGGGTCTGGACGATGACCAGAGGGAGAAGGAAGAGCTGGACTCCCACACAAAACGAGAAGGGGAGAAGCCTGACAGAGCGGGAAGGAGTGGCAGAGCTTTGGTTCCTGCAAACCAGGCAAGAGGAGGGCAAGCTGGGTCGGTCCCTGCGCTCCTCCTCGCAAGCCACAAAGGAGGGAGGGAGGGAGGGACAGACGCGATGCTGAGGCCCAGGAGGTATCAGGGCCGGGCTGGCTTCCCACAGCCTCAGGAGGAGGAGGAGGAGGAGGAGGAGGAGGAGGAGGAGGAGGAGGAGGGCCCAGTCCCTAGTGGGCCGAGAGGCGAGGGATCCAGAAGGGGGACTGCTCTGCTTCTTCTCTGGCCCAGTTCCAGGCGAGACCTTTCCTGAGAAGGCCTCCGCTTCCGTGTAGAAGTAAGGCACGCTTCTTTGGCAAATAGGAAAAGAACGTCAAGACCCAGAAACGACGGGCTGGGAGCCACCGGAAGATGCCCTTATTTGGGCTTCTTCCCCCACCCCAAAAAAATCAACTCAATGTTGCAGCTCTGGTTTCTGCTCCATTGTGGAACCTTCTGTCCCATGCTGGCTGCTAAGAGGGGCGAAGTAGCGTAGAACAGCACCCCGACCTCCCTGGGGTGGAAAGACCCCCCCGAGTGACCCCACTTCGGCGCACGAGAGGCCCAAAGAGCCGACCTCCTGGACCTCTTCCACCTCTTCAGACGGTCGTGTCGTCTTCCTCCTGGGAACGGCCAACCAGGAGCGAATGCTTGTCGGGCTCGCTCAGGGCAATGTTGCTGAGGGAGTGCTTGTCGGAGAAGAGGGAGCTGATCGAGGCCTGGCTGTAGTGGATAATTCGGTCCATGAGGCTCAGTTTCGGGGACCCGGGTCCAACCTCGTCAATCCCAATGTGGACACTGATTTCTGAAGAGCTCTTGCACCTCCCCTGGGTGCGGGCGTGGCGCTCGTACTTCTCACAGGTGGGCTTCTTGTAACTATAAGGGGAACACAGCCTGGATTGGTGGCGGGTTCCATGGGAACTCGAGCCAGGGATGGCCCGGACCGTCCCGTCCCGGGAGCCCCATGGGGGAGGCCGGCCTTCCTGGCCCCTTTTACACTGGGGAAACTTTGTGCCAGAGTTCGAAGAGCACAACTCTTCCACAAAAACGTCGGGACTTCTCTGGCTACGGCTTTTGTAGCCTCCAAACATTTTCCTACTGGCTTGAAGCAGGTCAGTCACTAAACCTTTTGTTTAACACGACGTTATTGCCGGCCTTGCTGGCCCTGAGCACTTCAAAGGGAGCTGGTTCCCTTCCCCCACCTCCAAGGAGCAGGCTCCCCCAGATTCCAGTCTGCTGGGCAGGGTTTTGCCTGCAGCTCCACTTTCATCCACCCGCCAGCGCTCGCCCCGAGAGCAACTTCACCATCCTCCACATCCAGCCCTTTCCCTAAAGGATGCGGCCACGAGGAAGGCAGGCAACTGCAAAGCATCCCGGCTTCTCCTCCTCATTTAGCCAAAGACCAGGCCCTGGGGGGGGGGGGGGCCCTTTTGCTAAGGGAGATCCCCCCCCCCAAGGGAAACCCTCCCCTCTCCTGCACAAGTCACCCAGTGGAGCCCCCCTGCCTCCCCACCACCATCTGCAGAGCTACTCACAGTTTTAGCAGGAGAGAAGACAACACAACGGACACGGAGGAGGCCGCCATCGCTGCAGAGCCCATCCAAGGCTGCAGGACCAAGCCAATCGGCAGGAAGACGCCTAGGGACAAGCCCCGCAGAGTTCAAGGAACCTCAAATACTCAAGAGATCGTGAAGCATTTTCACAACTACTTCCTGTCACTGGAAGGGGGGGGAGGGGGAGGTAGGCAGGAGAAAAACTAGAACCCCCAAATTGAAAAGAGGGGATTTAGGAAACCACTTGCACAGGGGAAGTTTCTCGTCCACCCCTGTTTATTTTGTCTGCCTAAACTCAAGAATTCCTCCTTTCTCCACCCAAACTAACTCAGACAAAGGGGGGGGGGGAGATCTGGAATTTAATGCCCTCTTAATTTAATGCCCTCTTCTTTCCTTGACCATCATTTCCTGCAGCTTTTTGCTTTACTTATTGGGTCTATACCCATCAATTTAGAGGCCTTTTCTGGAGGACACCACGCAGCAGTTCAACACCAAGAAATGCTACATACCTGCCGCGACCGGAATACCAATAAGATTGTATATGAGAGCGAAGACGAAGTTGATCCGTATCCTTTTAACAGTTTTCCGTGATAAATCTATGCTTGCCACCACATCCAGCAAATCATTCTGCAAAATATGTTGTTGTTGTTGTTGTTGTTGTTTGAGAGATCGCTTAACAGGATTAATCCTATCCATCAACGCTTCAGATTCCTGGTGACTTGACAAAGCTGCCTCTCTCTCAGGATCTCCGCTAACTCAACCCCACTGGACCGTTTTAGAAAGTGCACAGATCATCGAAAACTGCAGGGGGCGGGCAGGACGACCCGTAACCCCGAGGGCTGCTTTGCCTCCCTTTCCCCCTCCTCTACTTTCCACTCGACTGCTGGGCTGCTGACTCTCACCTGGAGAAGAGGCGCCCCAAAGGGGTCCCTAAGGCTAGGCAGACTAGGCCACAAGGACTAAAGAAGCAGCCTACCAAGAAAAGGAAATAGACAATAATCCTAAGAAATCCTGGCTCTCCTCTCCGCCCACTGGGCCTTTTCCCCTTTCATCCAAATAGGGCTCCTGTCCCCCAGAGCATGATGGGCTCTTCATCCAATGGAAGAAAAGCTGCCAGCTAGGAGACCCTTCCAAGTCAGGGCCGTTTAAGGGCGGACCGAGGGGGGCCTAGAGGCCGTGACCCGCCTCCCCTCCTGGGCCCTTCGACGGGGCCCCTTCCCCAAGCAGAGCGGGAGCTGGAGCCCCTTGGATCCCCTTTGTGGCTTTTCCTCTCCCTTCCTCCTCTCAGGCTTGGCCAGCATCTCTCCTTCTGCCGCGCAGCTTACCCTGATCAAAACCATGTCCGCCGCTTCAATAGCCACGTCTGTGCCTGTGCCGATGGCAATGCCCACATTAGCCATGGCCAGGGCTGGGGAATCGTTGATGCCATCGCCCACCATAGCCACCCGTTTCCCTTCTTCCTGCAGCTGCCTCACTTTGGCCACTTTGTGGGAGGGGAGCACTTCAGCAAATACTTTGGTGATGCCAACCTAAAAGCAAAAGAGGGAAGGCTGAGGAACCCGACGGAAGGACGCTCTCGGGGGCAGCGCTGGGGCTCCGGCACCCGGGTGAGCTGAGGCCCCCTTGCATTTCAAGAGACTCTGGTCTCCAGCCGTCAGTAGGGAGGGAATGTAAAGGATGCTAAATGAAAATTAGGGACGGGAAGCTGACTGGGGGCGTCCAGGGAAGCCTCAGGCATCCAGCCGCTTACCTGAGCAGCGATGGACCTGGCTGTCTTGCCATTGTCCCCTGTCATCAGAACCACTTCCAAGCCCATCCCCTTCAGGGTCCGCACAGCAAGATCCGCTTCGGGCTTCACGGTGTCAGCAATGGCGACCAGGCCACACAACTCCCCTAGGAGACAAACAGGATCCCATGAAGGCCCCGGAGGCCTCCAGGAAAGGCCGGCTGTCCCATTATTGTGCTCCTTCCTGAACGGGGATCTGACTTAGTTGTGTTTTACAAGGTAAAAACATGGGTTGATGGTTGTGAGCTGCTCACAAATGCTGAGAGTCAGGCAGCCTAACAAGCTTAAAGAGTTAAAAAAAACGGCCACTTGGTTAGTTGCTACAAGAAGATCGCACAGACGGACTACAGACAACGGCATCACAAAGTAGCAGCAATGGCGCACTGGAAAATTATACATTTTAAAAATATATCTTATTGCATTTATATGAATGATTTGCACTTATACAAATGGTATGAAGGATTTCCAGAAGCCCAAATTACTTAAGGTCAAATATGTGGTTGGGATTAAAAAGGAAAAAAAGGTCTTGGTTAGGCTTCCTTCAGGCCTCAGGACCAGTCAGGCCAATGAAGGCTCCCTTGTTACTTCCACTCTGGTTGCAATTGTCAATAATGGAACAAAGTACAGATCTATAAATGGCTGAGGCAATTATTCTTCTGGGGAGCTGAGACAGGGGTAGCAGTGAAGAACCAAGAGGGGGGAGAGTTCTCATTTTTAGTCAAAAAAGATGTGTCAAACTTAATCATTATTTCAGCCTTTTATTGCAGGAAAAATGTGAAAAATAACACATCCATAAAACCAGTCTTTAGAAGCATACATTCACAGGCAATGATTGTGTATATGTCTAGGGAGGACACAATTTGCACATTAATGACACAACTTCATAGAGAATAAACCTAAATTTGTTTAAGCGAACGGAAATAGGAAAATACTTCGTTCATCCAGGCTGGTCTTAACCCTGGTTTATTGTGGCATTCGTTTTAGGCCAACATATGATTGAAATATTCCAATGATACACAGAATGTTTTTCTTCTAAAAGAGTTTAGTAAGAATAGTTGTGCTTTTAAAGTTGTAGCAACATTTCGGCAGAATCTCATCTGCCATCATCAGGCCGCTGTATAGTGTTCTATACAAACGCCTGGCAGACAAGACACACATAAAGACTGAACTATGCACCCTGACTAAAGTACTGACAGCCAACGGCTTCCACAAAAGCAAAATCACCGGCTTGATCCACAAAAACACACTGAGACATAATGGAGACCTAGAAGATGAACAGACCTATGGAACAGCTGTCCTGCCCTACAAAAGAGGTACTACAGACAAAATCAGTAAGATACTACACAGCCATCACATCAAGACTGCCTTCAAAACAGACAGAAAAATAGCAGCCACCCTAAGAAACCCCAAAGATAAAAATTGACCTGGAAAACCAAGGCATATATGAAGTCCCCTGTGCATCATGCCCGGCCACATACATTGGACAGACCAATAGAAGAATAAGTACCTGCCTGGATGAACACAAAAATGCAGTAAAAAACCTGGAACACACTTCCTCACTAGTCCAACACATGAAAGCCACAGGTCATAGCATCGACTTCAATGGCACCAAAACCCTAGCCACTATAGAAAACCCCAGCCACAGAATTATCAGAGAAGCCATAGAGATTGAAAAAAGACCTGAAAGCAGGAATAGAAGAGATGATTCCACCAGACTGTCAATCATTTGGAAGCCTACACTCACAAACAAAAAAATCTCCACACCACAAGCCAGGCAAACACCTGGGCACAAACAGATCCCCCTGATACCTCCAGCTCAAACACACCCCAACCAGATACCCAGATGAAACCTAGCCTCCTAACTAATGATAGCCATCCATTTACTTAGAGCCAAGCCGCACTAAACGCCTCCAATACAGGAAACACAATGTTGCCAGCCAATCAAGACAAAAAAAGCCACAAAACAGACAGAAGATATTAGAAACACCAATCAAGCAGAACACAGCAAACTCCAAGACCAATAAACACAGACCAAGACTCCCAACCAATCAGGAGGAAGAAAAAACCATTCTGGCACAGCAGTAGGCTAGCCCCAAATTTAAAACTGAAACGGCTGTGAAAGTCTGACTCACAGACGAACACAATACATAAGCCTGATGATGGCAGATGAGATTCCGCCAAAACGTTGCTACAACTTTAAAAGCACAACTATAATGATGTAGGAAAATACCCAAACAATGCTGAATAGCATACATGTAAGTACCCGTGAAAACTTAAGAAAACACACACACACACACACACACACGCATAGATATATATATATATTTGCATTATTTAAGCGAGAAATAGTCAATGACAATGGTTAACCAAGTTTAGACTGCCAAATGACTGTGCATTTATGTTTATTGTAAATTGAATAAATACTCCTAAATAGCCATTCGGAAATACTCTGGAGTTTTATTCATTATTTAGAATTGTTGAGGTGCATCTTTGGCAATGATCTCCCCCCGCCCCCCCCCAATCAATGAACATTTTTATCCTGCCAAACTGTTTCAACACACCCAGTTACACGTCCTTTTCCCCTGCGCCCCTTTCGGCCTTTTCAAATTAAAATACTGACCATCCAAATCCTCAAACTTACCATCCACAGCTATAAGAACCGCCGTGCGGCCTCGGCGCTCATGCTCCGTCATGGCTTCGTCAATATCACTCTTGAGAAGGAGGCCGTTCCTAGACATCCACTCTCGGTTTCCAATGAGAACCGAATATTTGTGAGACATCCACGTGTCTGAAAGGAAAACTTCCATTATCCAACAAAAAAAGAGGAACAATTTAACACTAACAACAGGGTTAGTCAAAGGCAGCCAAGAATCTGGAGCATGTTGCACCCTTTCAGGTTAATTAAAGGTTATGGGATTTAGTATCATAGGGCTGGAAGGAACCCAGGATTCCATACTGGATTAATGGTTGTTGGGGAAAGCACAGGAAAAGCGAGCAGAAACAGTCCTCGCGGGGGCGAAAGAGCTGAGATCGAGGAAGGCCCAGGCAAGAGAAGACGGAAGCTGCCGCCTTTGAAAAGCGCTGCTTTTTCTGTTGCCTGTGCCTTCCAATCTCCGCTCTTTCGCCCCAGCGAGAGCTGTTCCTGATCACTTTCTTTTCCTGGGGGGTGGGTGGGGGCAGCAGCAGAGACGTCAGGGCTGCTCTCCCCCCTCAGCAAGCCAGGCCTGGAGGGACGTGAAGCATTGCGGGCGAGCGCCAGAGAAAAGTGTGTTGGGAATGCCAACACACAAGTTTCCAGCATCCTCTCCTGTGTCCCGCGGTAGGATTGAGTGGTGGGAAGGGTAGGAGGGAAGGAGAAGCCCCGCTGGCTTTCCTTTGGCCTGGGGCGGGGGAAAGGGGGGAGGCCAAATGCACAGACCAAAACGGGCTCCTAATAACCAGCCTGTCTGTGCAGGGCAGAGCTCCAGCTATTCTGGGCTCAGCACCACCACCCAGGGAGGGATCCTTCTCAGCTTGAAAGCGGCCGGAGAAACCTGGAGCTTAGCCTCGGGGAGTCCCCTTCTTAGGTGGAGGCCGAAAGTGCGGGGAGGTGTGTGGCCTGGTTATTAGGAGCCCATCGGCAATTAATTGATAAGGGACCAGGTAATCTGTCTCACAGGTGTCCTGAATCTTCATAATCGAACCGTTTTCTCCCTTTCTGCTGCCTATCTCATCCTAATTTCAATTGTACATCAGTCTAGCCATTCCCTCTAATCAAGGAAGCGGCAGATCACAAAGGCTTCTGTTTTTAAATAATATTTGTTTGTTGGAAAAGATGCTCCCAAACTCCTACCGAGATTTATTTAATAATAAACGGCACTGCTCACGAATGGCAAGTTTGCAAGAATCTTTATTCACTTCTAGCTAAGGGATGAATGAGACCTGATTACATGATTGCCCGTAAATATGCTTAGAGCCAGTAAACAAAAAATAAAAATCAACGTGAGACCCTAGTTGGGAGTGTTTTAAGCTGTAAGTGATGTCCTCTTATGCTTAATTCTGTTTCCATGTATTCCAGAAAAATCAGCTGTCCCTTCCATCTGCAGAAATGAAAGCCCCCGGGAGCTCTTGAACAACTTATTGTGCAAAGTCAATTGCATTTGCTTCAATGGTCACAGAATAAATAGAGTCTCAGGAAGGTTGGAAGACAATAGCTTGGATCATCATTTAAAATTCAAAAAAAAGAGCCCCGGTGGGCTGGGGACTGTGCATTTCTCCGCTTCGCCACGGGGCTGAAGACACCTTACTTTCAGTTCTGCCTAGGCGTAATCTTCCCCTGCATGTGAATTGGGAAACGGTGTCTTCTTTGAAGCCCAAAGCAAATGCGTCGAGACCAGATTCCATTCTCAGAACATCCCAGGTGGGCCAACGAAGCCCAGGGAAAGCTACAAGATCATCCTGCCCAGCTGCCCTTTGCTTTCTGGGTCTTCAAAATGGACTGTCAACACCATCCCCGAAAAGAGGATCCCGGGCTTCCTTTACAAACTCTTGTCCTCCAGTGACATAAAGCAGGCTATTTAATGGACATCCTCATGTAACTTGTGCCAACTGGAAAGCAGAATCTCTCTGTAGCAATGGATATCCCTACCCACTAGGCAGCTTCCTGTTGGGGCAACCAAGGAGCATTTTAGTCCCATGGTTGTATTTAGCTGTGAATTAACAGAGACTGAATGAGGAAGTATTACCACCCAGTTGTCTTACAAGGCATGATAACATGCCAATCCAGAGAACGGAACTTGTTGGGTTTGGGGCCCCCTCCTCTCTCCAGAAGCCAGACCCAAACACAAGCTTCCATTTACAAGACACACCTGTCCCACGTGCACTACTCACCTGGCACCTGCTCATTGATGATCAAAGCTGGCTGCAAGAGTGGGTCATCCTTCTCATCCATGCTCAGGAGAGCAGCGTTCCTGACATTGGTCTCTTCCACAGTTTCACTCTTGCTACGGAGTAAGGCTTCAATATTGGTAACTTTACAGCTAATACCACAGCCGGGCACCACCTGGAAATCAGTGCATGCCCCAAGGGTATCTGCGTCCAATTCCTAGAGAAACGAAAGGACCACACAACAAAGTCACCTGGGCAAAAACAGGACCCTCATCTGGAACAAGAGTTCCAAATCCAGATTCCAGCAGCATTAGCAACAGACCTTAGACTTATATACCACCTCATACGGCTTTACAGGCCTCTCTAAGCGCTTTACAGAGTCAGCCTCTTGCCCCCAACAATCTGTGCCCTCATTTTATGGACTGGGAAGTATGGAAGACTGAGTCAGCCTTGAGCTGGTGATACTTGAACTGCCGGCAGAATTAGCTTGCAATACTGCATTCCAACCAGTGCACCACCACGACTCCAATATAAGATGTGGGAATAAAATATAGGGGTGTTTGGAGCAATAATAAGCTTCCCCAAATCTGGAGGATGTGAGGAACGAAGACCTCGGTCACCTGCAGGCAATTTTGAATTATATGCCCAAAGTATCTGAATACTTCACTAGCCAAGTCCAGCTGTTGTATATTCTGCCTGTGTTTTATTTATATTTGAACTCATCTTTTTTCCAAGGAGCAAAGGTAGCACATTAAAATCTCATTTTACGTCCTGCATGCTCTTATCACTCCTGAGGAGGGAGTTAGGCTAAGAATAAGAAAATGGGAGAATGACTCGAGATCTGCCAGTCATCACACTTCTGAATAGGATCTGAATTCATTTACCCCACCTCAATGGAAGAATGGAGGAAAGAGTTCAAATCTGCAATTCTCCTAGACAGGCGATGTTTCTGTGTAATGGTGAATCTCTGCACCAACACAGGGATTGCATCAAGGCATGAGAAGTGACAATGCCACTTTGTAATGCATTAGTGAGGCTACACTTGAATACTGCATACAGTTCTGGCCACAATGATATAAAAAAAGACACCGAGACCCTACAAAGTGTGCAGAGAAGAGCAATAAAGGCGATAAAGGATCCGAAGGCTAAACCTTGTGACAAACGGTGGAGGACCTAGGTGGGTATCTCTAGCCTATCAAAGAGAAGAATTCGGTGGGACATGATAACTGTCTTCCGGTACTTGAGGGGCTTCTGACAGAGAAGGATGGGGTGACCTATTCTCCAAAGGACCAGAGGGCAGGGCAAGAGGGAATGGGTGGAAGATCATTATGGAGAGATCCAACCTAGAACTAGTGAGAAATGTTCTGACAGTGAGAAGAGTTAATCAATAGAATACTTGACCCCCAGAGTTGAGTGTTCCATCACTGGAGGTTTCCCAAAACAGACTGGGCAACCATTTTACCGAGATGGTATCAGGTCTCCTGCCTTGAGCAGGAGGTTAGACTAGAAGACCTCCGAGTTCCCTTCCAGCCCTATGATCCGATGTTCTGCGATCTGCCCTTCTACCTGTTTGCAGTACTTGGTGATTGCCGCTCCCAAAGGGTGCTCACTGTGGCTCTCCGCTGTCCCCACCAGCGCCAAGACTTTCTTACGGGGAATCCGGTTGCTCTCCACTAGCATCTTCATCTGCACCACCACGGGAGTTCCATGGGTGATGGTTCCTGTTTTATCAAACATCACAACTTTAACCTGCAAAACACCCACATGCCCACCGTACTTTAGAGTTGTAAACGACAGCAGACGGTCTGGGGGGGGGGGGGAGGATTCGTAGCGTTCTTGGACACAGGATAAGATGCAAGATCTTTCTGCCTTTGCCCCTCGGCCGAACAGGACCCTCCCGAGTCTCACCTTGTGCGCCATCTCCAGTGGCTCTCCGCCTTTGATCAGGATGCCGTTCTGCGCTCCTACGCCAGTTCCCACCATCACAGCCGTTGGAGTTGCCAGCCCCAAGGAACAAGGGCAGGCGATGCACAGCACGGTGATGGAGGCTTGAAAAGCAAAGCGGATCACGACCTCTGCGTTGGAAATGCTCTTATTGTAGCCCTGTTGGCACACAGAGAGAGGACTGGATGGGCACTTGTTTTAAAGGAAGTCTCAGTTTGATGAGGTCACGCACTGCCCTAAATGTGGTTTTTTTGGATTCAAGTTAATATAATACGGGAACTCATCGGTTGTGGCAATAAAATGGGGGGTATAGTTTAGCATTTTGCATTAACCCAGCCACAATTTATTCAGTTGACCAGAATAGTGTAAAGTGTGAACCTAGTCATCTTGATTTTATACATTAGCTGTATTATGTGCGAAAGAGTGCAGTTCTCGCCACAGGAAGTGGGTAGAAGGTTATCAAACAATATAGGGAGAAGTAACATCAACACAGAAAGAGGAAAGTGTGGGAAAACAAATTCAAAATAACTCCGCCTTGATTCTGTCTGGTAGAAGATGGGGCAGAGGACTCTGCCACCTCCCCTACAGCAAAGGCCTATGAGGACCAATGTGGCCTGGGAGCACCTGACCCTATGAACGGCCGCTAAGCTGTCCAGCTAGAGTCAGACACCAATTGCCAGCAAAGACAAACATTCAAGGAATACATTCCAGCCTCTTGCTGTAACATAAAGGAGGGTACAGTGATAAGCATATCACTAACCACCATGAATACAACTAAAATGTTGTGATCCAGCTTTACAAAATATTACAGGGAGTGTGAACTTTCATTGCCTCTCTACACAATTTATTCTTCATGAAGCAGGTGATGATCCCCTGATGCTCCGAAAGGCCCTTGCCCACTCTGAGAGACCTACAGAACCAGAGTCCCTTTGGGCAAGCACAAATCGTTTTCTTCTTGACTCCTTTTAAGCGGGTGTCTTCCAGTCACATCTTGAGGGATCTTTATTAGTGATCGTTAGTATTTAGAAGATAATCATAAATCACGTTTAAATATTAGGCAAAAATCAGCAAAAATGTCAATGTAAGTAATGCAGGCAAAGCAACCTTTTAAAAACATCACTCTATGATGCAATGCACCTGAATCATATTTCTTATTTTTTTTTGCTATTTAAATTCAAATTAATCTATCTTACATAATATAGGGAATATGAACTATAGTTAAAGCAAACCTTTTGGTTAATTAGATTTTGCAGGTCATGTCTTTACAAAAATTAAAAATGAAAGGAAAGAGACTTACAAGAAAGTAGGTTTCCACCACTTGAAAATTGACAAAGCCAATCACAATCCAAGCAAGAAGTGTAATCACAGAAACACCAACAATGAAAGGAACAAAATAGCCACTCAGTTTGTCAGCAAACTGCTGAATTGGTGCCTAAAGCAAGGGAAGGAGAGAAAAAGAAGCAACATTAATTCCAGAAGTCTTTTTTCAGGCTGAGCTGGTTTTTGGTTTCAGCCTTTGTAAATAAATAATATACATGATTTTTAACGAGAAGCGTATTTACTGGTGCTATAATTATTGGCACCCCCCACCCCCACCCCCAAAAATAGAAAAAGAAAACCAAACCCAAGGAGACAGAGAATTTTGCTGAAATCTCACTGGATAGGTCAGTTTGGCATATTACATAACCATATGCTGCAGCTGACTTTAAGCTACCAATTTGCTTTCTTGAATCACGGCTACCGAACAGGAGAGCAACCTAAACGTGTTAGTTATTAGTTATTATTGGTTTACTTTATTGTCATTGCACCTCGTACAACGAAATCAAACACCATCTTCAGTGCACATCTTGACCTTGACCATGAAAATAAACACAAGCACACATCCTTCACCCTCCACACATTGAGCCGGAAACCGCCGACACCACACCAACACTGCACTATACAGCATGTTTTGTAGTCTAAATACCTTTGATGTCTGAGCTTCTTCCACAAGCTTTACGATCTGGCAGAGGGTAGTGTCAGACCCAACGTGGGTTGCTGAGATCAACAGGGATCCATTCTGATTTATTGAACCAGCTATGACTGAACTGCCAGGTTTCTTGGTCACGGGCATTGCTTCACCTACACAGATCAGAAACGAAAGGGAGGCCACTTTTTGACAACTTCTTCCCCCCAGCCCGGAGCCTAGGGCCCAGGGAAAACCCATTCTGGCTTGCCTGTGATGAGCGATTCGTCTACCATCGAGTGTCCTTCAATCACTCGTCCATCCACGGGGAACTTGCCGCCTGGGACCACCTTCACAATGTCACCCCGCTGAACTAGTTCGACATCCACTTGCTCTTCGCTGCAGAGAAGTCAGAGCATTCAAGACTCAGCGACAGAAGCTTATGTAGCATTTCAGATTATTAAATCCTGCACAACAGAATGCTCTTTTCTTTTAAATTCCTGTTCAAAGCCTTCTTCATCTGCAGGAGGCTAGAGTAATGTAAAGAAATCCCCAGCTGAAATTATATTTTTGGGAGTTTGTATGCAAATTCATGTCAAGCTGCTACTCTTGCCTCGTTTACATTTTTACACTGAACTGCACAGGCAGAATGTTACCTGCAGTGCTGCAAATACATAAATAAAGACTACAAGAAAATTACAGGGGACGAAGCACTGTAGCATATAAATATTTCATTAAAAAGCCGCCACAGAACTGGAAATACCTCATGAGAGTATTATCTGGACCTAAAGTAACAATGGTTGCTTCTGTTGCTTGTAGTGAAATTAGCTTCGCAAGGGCCTCTGATGTTTTACCCTAAAAAGGATTAAAAAGTGTTTTACGTTCAAAGCAGCATAGAAATGCATTGGAAGCATCAAAATCATAGGCTGAGCAAGACGTCTTTAAGCAAGAGATTTTCCCCACAAGCTAGCAAGGAAAGAGAAAATCGAAGTTCCGAGGAAAGCATAATCTTTCCTTTCATTTGGCATCGGTTTTGGGGTGTGTGACATCTGTTTGAAATACATTTGCTGATTAACGGTTTGTAATGCCAGTGGTATTAAAATGCCAACTGGTAGATTAAAAAGAAACTTTAATTAACCTCCAGGCCTGCAGCTTGAGCAAATTTGAGGGCTAAAGTTTTCTAGAAGACGGCAGCCGGTGCAATGCTGCTCCCTGGTTTCCCTTCGCTTCCTGCTTGATGGGGGACCAGTTGTGAGACGCTTGAATGCGCACAAATGCCACTGAGCTCCCTTCCAGGCCTTCTTCAAGAAGGCAGAAGGGGTGCAGGAGAGGGAGGCAGCCAGCGTTGTGATGTTTATCATTGTGTTGTGTGTGTGTGTAGTACTATATTATTGTTTTATGTCTTCAATTGAAGCACATTTATTAATAACACCCAAACCGTAGTTAGACCCAGGTAAGCACAGAAGATGGCAGGTAATTTGAAAGCATGGTTCCCCCATGGTTCCCCCAGGTCTCCCCCTGAACCAGAGGAAGAGCCCCTCTGCCCTGACCTTGGCCACGTGCTCCAGCCAGCGGCCCAACGAAATGAACACAAAGAGCATCGGCGGTGTGTCAAAGAAAGTCACCGGATTGGCCACTGCCTGCTCAGCCATTGCAACCAGAAGAACCACAAAGGAGTAGACAAAGGCGATGGTCGTGGCCAGGACAATCAGCACGTCCATGTTGGCTGCTTTGTGCTTCAGCGCTTTGTAGGCTTGAATGTAGAAGTGCCAGCCTCCGAAGAACTGCAAGAAGGGCAAACGTCAGCAGGGTAAGTAATACTAACACATAGGAACGGCCGCTCATTGTCACATTTCAAGAGGAAAGTCCCCCCTTCGCATGGGCATCTCAAGAAGGCAGCCCCACCCCCCCATCCACCCCGGACTTGACAGGCAAGGCAGCAGCTTCCCACGGGGCACCCAGCAGAGCAGCTGGGGTGTTCCAGGGGAACCTCTTCTTTGCGGCTGCTCTGCCTCATTGGGTCACCCTTATTTCCCACCTTCTCCTTGGCTTCTTCCATCCTTTCCTTTCCTTTCCCTCCCCCTCCCCCACCACCAAAGGTTCGGTTCAGGAAGAAAAGTCAGAATAATGGTGAAATGCATTTTGTTTAGTAGGGCTAGAGGTTTTTCACCTGGAAGCAAAGCCTCCCCTGTATGTCCAGGGAAAATGACACCGAGAATAACAAAAAGGTTGACAAGAGATGCTCGAAATGCCAAGAGAAAAATATTACTCTTGGCTTTCTTCCAAAAGGACAGAAAAGGAAAACCATTTCAATAGATGAACCTCGAGGTCAGCCTTTTGATGGGAGCAGCGAAGTCAAATGTTAAAGGAAGATGCCTACTGGACCCCTTGGCACTTTCTGGTGACAATCCATACAATCACACATGCTTTACCTAAGCACTAAAGAGGTCCTCTACACTTTACTCTCCCAAAGAGGCTGAGTCAGTGTTTCCCGATTAAGCACCGCAACTCATCCTTCGCCCTAACCCTAAAGGGAAGTGGGGCGCGATGCTTATGTTCTGCCCTCCGAGTGACTCAGGCCACCCCTTTCTACTTGCCTGAACAGGAACACACAATAAAAAGGAGAGCAAATTCATCACAGACAGTCCGGGAAGAATCTGCTGCTCCAGGAACATGGATGGGTGGTGAACTTCTACTTCTGTTTCTTCTTGAGTCCAGTTAGAAGCCTCCTGCATGGCCGACATGTGACTCTCCATCACCATCATGTAGATCATGAGCCCCATTACAGGGATGCAGAAAATGAGGCTCACGAGGAAGGACTGTTTCCACCTAAATAATAAGCGGACGAGATAATATTGAATAAACCATCATAACTTAAGAAGTCAGGTAAAGCTTTGAAAGACAGTATACAGTTATTGGGGGGGTGGGGGGAAAAACCACGTTCCAGGAAATACTGCAAAGGTACAAATAAACACAAAAAAGGACTCACTGTCTTATTTCATGCTTGTGGTCTAAGTGGCTAGCAGATCGGTCTTTTTTTACCAATGTAGCATTAAATCCTAGATTCTGGAAAGAGACATGATGTGAATATGCACATTTCCACACAGATCTTATCTAAAAACCAGTAAGACATTTACTACCAAGAAAGGGAAACTGACTCTTTTTCAGAGATGTTTTATAAGTTTGGACATTTCTGCATATTTTTAAACAACAACCATTGTCCAAAAACTTGTTGCTTTAGACTGAAGGATACAAATTAACAAGGATAAATTAACACTGACAACAGCTTAGAGCCTAAACCAACAGGTATAAGAAGTTAGAAGATATAAGGGGTAGAGAGATGGGGGTGGGAGAATAAGAACATAAACCAAACAGAGAACCTAAGTTTCAGTCTTAAGTTTAGCATTTTGCTATATCCACATAGTGGGATCAGAAAATTCCAACTTCAAACCAGCGTCCATATTCAGCCTCTTCTTTCACAGAGTTTCCTCTACTTAGTTAAATTGACATTTGTGGAAAAAAATAAATCTAGAAAATAATAAAACAAAACAAAAAAATAGCAAGCTCACAGAAACTGTACTGGCAAAAATACTTACCTGTATAATCTGTATAACATCCCGAGGGCCAATGATCTCCGGATCGTACTTAACGTGGGCTTTGTTGGTTGCCAGGGCCACTGAGCTGTACAAAACCCCTTTTGTTTTCATAAGGGTAGATTCTATTTTATGAACACACGAGGCACAAGTCATCCCCCTGACCTGTGAGGAGAGAAAAAAATTGTTTGCAGAATATTGTTTCTTAAAAGGATAATTTTGCCTGCGTGATAAACAATGAACTAGAGAATAACATGATGAAAGGGGATAAATTCCCCCCCAAAACCCTAACCCTAGCTCAAGATTTATGCTAGCTTATCTTTGCTTTTGTTATTCTTCTGCAATTGTTCTGCTATTCAAACTGGTAAATAGAGCCACAGTTGGTTTTGTGGTTAAGGCACCAGATTAGAAACCAGGTGACTGTAAGTTCTAGTCCTGTCTTAGCCATGAAAGCCAACTGGGTGCCAGTCGCTCGCTCTCAGTCTAACTCACCTCCCAGGGTGGTGGTTGTGGGGACAATAGCAGGAGGAAAAAGTATGTTGGATAAGCTACTATCTTGAATTGTTTGCAAAAGTAATAACGTTGGGAAGCAAGCAAAACAAACAAATAAATCACTCCTTCTACTCCTGCAGAATAGAAACAAGGGAAATAAATAGATACGATTAAGAATTTTAACTGTCCACCAAAGGACAAACTACCCTCCTCTCTAGGGGAGTTGGGAAAGCCTGCTGCTCGCTCTGCATTTCAACACCTACCCATTCAGCTAGCAGTTATGTTTCCCAGTCTTCATACAGCCCTATCCTGCAAAGTGTATTCTTTGCCTTCCTGACCAACAGGGGAAAAACTAATATAGACACTGAGAAAAAAAAGCAAACAAGTGAAAAGATACAGAAGCACACTTCTGTCTGAGGAAAGGGAAAATAAATATCCCACTAGAACTAGAAACTTGGGAAGAGTAACAGAAAGATGCCCAAACTTTCTGATACACAGGCAAAAATAGATACGACAGCAAAATGAAATTTTAGGTTTTCAGTTATAATTTTGAGGGTAATGGTCCCTACATTCAAGTACACGTCCACCAAGACAGGCCAAGTTCCCCTAAAGAGGCGCAAGAAGGGAAGGCGGAGTAAGAGGGCTGGTCCTGCCACTTCAGTAGGGTCTCACTTAGATAAAACAACAACAGGACTTCCACGTTTTTCAGAAGCCCCGATAGACTGCAGGTACCCAACTGCTTCCATCCTTTTCATATGTGGTATAAAAAAAAAAAACACCCCTGCCAGATGCGTATGTGTTGAGAGTGAAACAATCTGCTTACAACCAGCTCCAAGATGCCATTGCCTTCATCGTAATCCTCCAGCACCAGAGCACCAAACCCCAGCTCTCTAATCCTCTCTGCTACCGTCGGGGGCTGGATGACGGAAGGGTCGTATCTCACTTCGGCCTTCCCAGCCATCAGGGCAACAAGCACAGAGCATATCCCTAGAAAGAGGGAAGCACACTTAGCAACGTTTAGGGAGGGAAACCATCAGTATGCTGTACAATCAAGGGTCCTGAATAAATACACCACGCTGCTATTTTCGTCAGAATAAAACTGATTTTCTTAGGACATCTCCTGGCCCAGGGCCAGAGCTGTGGCGCTGCTGCCGCCCAAAACCTTGATTTGTGGGGCTCCTTTTACAAGTGATTCCTTTTATTCTCCACAAGTATGGAAAATGAAATTTGAAAAAACTCTAGCATGGTAAAAGTTCTGAACTCTGTTTAGAACAGGGCTGCCAAATTCCCGGCCCGCAGGCTGGATGCATCACATGCTGGCCACGCCCAGGCCCGGTTTAGCGAAGGGGGGGGGGGGGGGTCCTGATACGTCACGTGACGACGTGAGTTTGACAGCCCTGGTTTAGAGCATCCTGAGGACCCAGATGGTTGGGGGCAAGAGGCTGACTCTGTAAACCGCATAGAGAGGGCCGGGAAACCCTGGGAAGCGGCCTGTAAGTCCAAGGGCTATTGCTAGCCTCCTTCAGGGGAAAAGGGTGACTTACGGTCCAAGTGGAACAGGCAAGATCCACCACCCAAAGACCAAATGTTAACACTTGCAAGGTGGGGGGGAGACAGGACACTCCCTCTCCTTGTCCCACATGGGCCCCCGCCTCAACCCCGAGCAGGAGTTCCAATCAGAGTAGCTCTCCTTCTACCTTTACCTGAGAATCTGGTCAACGTCAGCCATAAATTCTGGGGCAGCAAATGTTAGTCAGGCTCACGGAAGGGTTTCTTACCATCTTCTCTCTTCAGGTTCCTCTCAATGTTGGCCACACAGGAAGCGCAGGTCATACCAGTGATCTGAATGTAGCATTTGGACGGCGCCTTCAAACCTGGTCTGTTCGGAACCGGCGACAGGCTGGGGTGAGCGACTGTTTTGGGCAGCTTGCTCTCTTGAGTTTTAGCCAGCCTCTCCTGGGAAGGCTCCGTGATTAGCACTATGGGCTCTGGGCTTGGCGGCACTGGAAGCAGAAAATTATCATCAGCAAACAAGGTCCCAGCTCTTCCACCAACTGCATTCTCATGACAGGAGTAGATATGCGGATCTTTCCGGATGCTTAAGCTCCCTGCCCCACCTGACCTTAGTTTTTAAAGAATTTTTCTTTTAATTAAAAAGTAAAACTAGCACAGTGGATAAAAGTAAAGAATTTCCCTTGTCCAGTCAAGTCCAGCCCTAGGGGTGATGCTCATCTCAGTTTCCTAGCCCAGGGAGCCGGCCTTGTCCAAAAACATTGCCATGGTCATCTGGCCAGCATGAAGCCAAGGAACACAGAACACTGTTATCTTCCCACCCAAGTGGTACCCATTAATCTACTCGCATTTGCATGCTTTCAAGCTGCTAGGTGGTCAGGAGCCGGGGCAAGTAACGGGAGCTCACCCCGTTACACAGAGTGTCAGCTCTGCAGGAGACAAGCTCAGCGACTAACCACTGAGCCGTTGCGTCCCCATTTTAATACAGTAATAGACACAAATAACGGGGGAGGATATACTCCTCCTCTCTTTCCAGAAGTGTGCCTGGGTACTCCATAAACAGACACCCTGCAGGATTAGGAAAGAAAGACCCGGGCGACCTTGAAACTGGCCTGCCTATCATGTCATCATGTTGTGAAAGACTCCTTTATATTGATCGGTTAGACGCGTCGCTGTCTTTCCTCCAGACACTCAAGGCCCCTCCCACAGGTCCCCTTCCTGCAATTTTTCTCCCGTAGCGCCAACCCAGTCAGGTAGGCTAGGCTGAGAGAGAGCAACTAGACTGGACAAAAATCAGCCGGGAAGGTTCCCTTGCACAGGCGGCATTAAATTGGAGGCTCGCTAGTCTGAGTGCATGATGATGACGATTTTTTGCAACCCCACACGGATTTGTCTCAAGAATTTCTCCAAACTCCAAATGTGCCCCCATGAGCTTCAAAAGATGCCCATCTCTGCCCAGGGCCCCCGGCTACTGTCTTAAGCATGGACTGCAGAATGAAAAAAGCTCCGGGGGAATGCTAGGTTTTGTCAGGGTGCAAAAGGAAAGTGCAAACAGCAAAGGAAACTGGACTTGCTGCTACATTCCTTTTGTTTTCATTTTCTCAAAAGATACTGAAATATGGAGACTTTCTGCATTCCCCTCCCACCCCAAAATTCTAGTATGACCAGGTGCTCTAAGATAGCTGAAAGGAGGTTACCAATCCCACTTCACCACATCTAGTCATAAGGCAGGGCATGCAGAACAGAGCAAGTCACGGGGACGCAAGTCATTCTCTGGGCAACTGGAGAGGGCAACCGGAAGGTCCCTCTCCTTACGCCTTTCCCATCCGGCCTCCCTTAACGGCACCAAGAGTGAATTCCCTACGGTGGACTGAGATGACACACTGGCTGCTCAAAAGGGAAAGAAACAGCCAGTTGCTACTCAGAAAGTTGTAACGTGTAAGGTTGATCTTTAAATTCATTTTAAGGAGAATGCAGGTGACATGAATTGGACGCAGTCAGCGCAACGCTATGTTGTAGGACCCTCTCTAGCAGAGCAGGATTACTCCTGCAGGGGGATCGTTACAAAAGTCGTGAAAACCACCTGAAATCCCCCAATCCCCACAAAACAAAAAAGCAAAAAGCACAAATGTATTTACAGTAGGCACACCGGTTACCAATCCTTTCTGGAATAATCCTGCCAATGGCTGGATGAGCTTCTGGGTGGACTGACCGACCTGAAAGCGCAGGATTGGAGGGCAGCAGCCATCGCCCCTCCACTTGCTTGTTTGCCCACCGCCTCCTTCAGTCTACTGATCGCCTTGAAGCATAACTCATGTGCCTACATTGCAAGACCCCCTCCCTTTGAAACCAGCCCCGTTAGGGAAATGACCGCATTATCCCGCATAAAACGGCCCCTCCAAGAACCTAAAGAAATGGCTGGAGTTCTCAAGCCTGCCTGAAATCTAAGGAATAACTTACCAGCTACGGCTGCGTCAAAGCCCATGTCTTCAATTGAGTCCTTTAAATCGGCCGGAGAGGTCAGAGTTGGGTCATATTCAATAGTCCCATTACGGTCCCGCAACGACACACAGACCGACTTCACGCCAGGTTTCTGTGAAATGAGCCCCTCGATCGACTGCACGCAGGAGTGGCAAGTCATCCCTTCGATGCGGATGACGGTCACCAGCGTGAGGGGATGGGGCCCGATGCTGTGTACAGCTACGGGGAGAGGCGGCTTCGGGGGAGATCTGGAGTTGCTCAGGCGCTCGGCCTTTTCATGCGCGTCCAAAACGCAGGCCTTGAAAGTCCCCGGGGAGACGGCCTCAATCGCTCTCCTGAGCGCCCCGAGGCTGATGAGGCTGGGGTTATACTGGACGACAGCCGACTTCTCTTGCAACGACACTGTGATGCTGCTCACCGAAGGCAGCGCCAAGAGGCTGCTCTGGATGTTGAAGACACACGAGTTGCAGTGCATGCCATCCACGCGGAAGACGACGGTCTTCCCCTCTGGCTTGCCTCCCAGACTCTCTGGCGGGGGCCCTTCCGAGCGCCCGGTGTGGCTGCTCTTCAGCCGCTCGATGTCAATGGAGCCCAGCTGCAGCGGTTTCGGCATTTTCTTTTCGGAGGCGATGAATCCCGCTGCTTCTATTTGCTTCCTTATTTCTTCTGATGTGATGAGGTGAGGCTGGTAAGTGACCATGGCTTCCTGGTTATCCAGGGAAACTGGAAGATAAGTGAAAAAGGGTTGGTGCGGTTCCCTCTGGCTAGTCCGTGAAATATTTATCGGTGAAGAGGCTTCCTGTACGTGAACAGTCTGGTTAACTGGAGGAGCTGGAAATCAGGAGGGACTCACTGCCTAGCTCAGAGGCTGCTGCTTTCTGGGAGTGGGTGGTTCTGAGTGGAGGCGTGTCCACCATGAGGGGGGGGGAGTACAGTCTGTTCCTCCCTCCCCTCCGCAGCTCTCAGCATGTCACATCCCACCCACCAGCCAGGCATTGGCTTTTCCCACCGCTTTTCTCCTCCTCTTCTCCCTCCATAGTCATCACCAGTATCCTTGGGCAGTGCTTCTTAACCCTGGCAACTTTTAAGATGTGGGGATTTCAATTCACAGAATTTCCCAGCCAGAATGGCTGGCTGGGGAATTCTGGAGTTGAAGTCCTCACACCTTAGAAGTTGTTAAGAGTTGAGAATCAATGTCTTTGGGGCTTTTGCTACACTTGTTCATTCCATGCCCGGAAAAAAGCACATCGGCTGTTTCATTCTGAACACGGCTGAAAAAGCTTGACTGCAGTTTGGAGCACCTAAAGCCAGCTGTTTGCATGCTGATACTTCCCAGCGGTCCAGAAGTATCCGTGAGTGTTCTGAAAGGCCTTTCAAACAGGAAACTTCCAGAGTACTTGACACAGGCAATTGGGGAGTTAAAGACTATTCAGTAATGGAGCGTTTTGCACAGCTCTACCTGGAAAGCATCCTTCTGTTTGGCTAGAAGAGCCTGGAGGAACTTGAAGACTATATCACTGCTGTGACAGCAGGCAACAGAAACGAATCACAGAGCAAAGAGGTGGAACTTAGCTTTTGAAGTGGAAGTGCTAGGGTCTGGAGCAGTTACATCATGCCATAAAGGCTGCCATCCCCTTCGTTCTTGCTAGTCCCGGTGACTTACTAAAATAAGGGGGGGGGGAATTATTTCAAATTTGTACGGTCTCAGCGTAAGTTCTGTTTCTCGGTTCTGTTTGAGAATACAAAAGGTTGGATGTTACCTACTGTAGCTTTCTGAATGGTGGCTTTATGAAGGACCTACAGGTGAATTTCTCCATAAAAAGAACTGTCATCCACATTTTGTACCCCTTGGAAGTTCAATTGTCCTATTCAGGTTATAATGGAGAATTGATGAAAATGGTTTAAAAGGACAAAAGCTGCAAAAGGGCTCTGTTTTTAATTACCTTTAATCCGCTTGATCCCTTGCAATTTGCCAATTTTTCCTTCGATGGTGCTCGTACAGGAATGGCAGGTCATCCCCTCTATTTTCAGTCTTAGCACCACGTCATTTATTTGGTTTAAACTTACATCCTCACATGTTCCTTTATTTTTATCTTGTAATGCATTGTCCAAACTTAATCCTGGTACTATTTCATTAACCTGTTTGCTAGTTAGAATAGAGGAGATAAAGGTTACAACTAGAGTTGTTTTGTCAGAAGAGATTTTCACGTCCAGAATGCCTTTGACCTTTAGGAGGTCGCTACGAATCTGTTCACAGGTTGGAGTTGCCTGGGTGGGAATTGTAAGAAAAGTGGTGTCATGTGGAACGGGCTGTGGTTTGGTGTCGCCAAGAACCGCCTCAAACCCCATGTCTTCGATGGCTTCCTGGAGCAACTCCGGGTTTTGCTCTTTGGGGTCGTAAACAATGGTGGCGCTCTTCTCGTCCAAAGAAACCTTGCGGACAAAGAGAAAAGGCAACTGAGCCAAGTGAGATTAAGATGGCCTTAAACTGGCATTAACATGTCAAGCAGCTTTGGCTTATTACACTGACACCCTGAATGGCAATTTCACTCCCCTGAGAAGGAGGAAGTGTAAGGCGGTACCTATGAAACCATAAATTAACTCGGATTTATTTGTAAGGCAAGACGACTAGCTACCGGGTGAGCCACAAAAAAAAAGCAGCAAAACAATTTCAGAAATCTCTCACACAATAACACAGGATACACTTCTCACATGAACTTTCTACAGCGCCTTAAGTATACATTACAATCTATATACAGTACAGTAATCAAGATTAAGATTAACCTAATCTTCAACTGTCATGCCCAGAAAGTTAAATAGCTGGCTGATATGGAACATGATGTTACATTTAATGCTATAATGACTTGTGGTGGGCTGTGTATAGGGCCATAGGTTGGGATGAACAGAACAACCCCCCGCCTCCATTTTTAGAAGTATTCTGTGGCATAATACTGGTGGGTATTTAACTAGGAAAATGGGCACTGAAATTTCATACACATTGAAAAAAAAAGGAAAGCAAATTTTAAGGGATGGAGTGGCATAACCTGGGGATGGAGTGAGAGAGAGCGAGCCAGGAATCTCGACATAGCCACAAGTGGACTAAGTCCAACCACCCCGCCTTGAATTTCGTTGACCCTTTTCTGCTCCAAACAGGGGCAGCTAACTTAGTTGAGAATTATCCCTGGGCCTCAGTTAAATTGGACCTTCGCGTGCGGACCTGGTCTTCCATGCCTGACACAAACTGCCATGTGGTTTAATGTTGGTATGGTAATGACAAGTTTAATATTAAGTATGCTAATATTTTAATAAAAAGTGACAAACACACCAGAAATAAAGAACTAAAAGCTGTCAGGACGGAATGGCAAGTCAGAAGTATACTGTACATGCAAAGACGGGAAAGGGAAACGATGATCAAGTCCACAGGAGAAACTAAAGGAGCTATCCTAAATAGCTTGACTTATTATTCTGGAATCTGGGGCAGCCGGGTGAAGGTTCCCCTCAGGTGGAAAGCTCAGGATGGGCCCAAGGACAAAAGAAACTGGGCCAGGAAGGTGGATAATGAAAGCCCTGCGTAGCTTCCCTTGCAGGACTCCTCCCAAAACAACCTTATTATTACTCTGCTTTTCTTCCATTCACCCATACCAAAAGAGACTTCGACAGTTTGAATCTTAAGCAGAGAACAACAGCTCCCAAATTGTAGTGGGGGGGGGGGAACCACAGGTGTCCCAGGAAGGTGTGGCAAAATGTTTTTGAAAGGATCCCACTCTCTTGGCAAATCTCAGAACACGCTGGCATTCTTACCCAAACTCGCGCATCTGGCGACATTTGGTAATTTCAGAATATTGCAGCTATTTTAGAAACTTAAATGAACGTTATTTTATGTGCCGTGGATATTGTAAGGGAATAAACACAAGCCAAGGCACACATGCAAGCTCTAGGCCAGGTTCCAGTGGGGGAAGGAGGACAGGATCCAGGCTTTCCCAATCTAAATTTAGACTAGGAATCTATAAATCCCAGCAGACCAAAAATTTCTATTTAGCACCCCAAGGTTCCCGTCCCACCAGTGATTTCTCCATCCAAGCTGCAGTAAAGAGAGCCTCTCCCTCTCCCGGGTGCCTGGCTGGGATTGAAACGGACACGCTTTTCCCGAGAGTTTCTTCTACTTGTCTTAGCCTCTTTACTTTTGCAAAAGCAACTTGGGCTCCGATTCTTTGGCAAAAAAAGTCAGAATTCTGCTGAGATGCCAAGATTACAACACATAGGAGGAACTTCTTCTCTGAACTTTTACCCCTCACAGATTTACTAACGTCAGAAACTTTCTCATAAGGTCTAAAACCTGATTTGTTTTTCAGCAGACCGTCAACATATCCCCCGCTGCTTCAATTTCTAAAAGGGCAAATGGATATTACTGGCAAGCCCATTGAATTAACAGCAAATTTCCCATTTGCCATAGGCAAAACACAACCTGGAAGCCCCCGTGCAATCTAATTGCACAAATGTAACCATTTTAAAATATTGCAGTTTCTTTCCTCCGCCTTTGGCTATAGTATCATGGATTGATTTACTGCCAATTATATGGAAGATAACCAAATTCAGGCTCTCTGAACTGCACGTCCTCTCCCACCCCCCTCTCCTAAGAATACTGAATCTAAAACCTGTCAAGATTGTTCTGCTGTGCGGAAAAGCACTCCTCCACTACTGCGTCCCATCTAGCCTCTGATCTGTAATAAAAGCAAAATTACTTACTTTAATGACATGAATTCCATTTAGCTTCCCAATATGCTGCTCAATTGTCTGCACGCAAGAACTGCATGTCATTCCCTCCACGTGAACGACAATTGATCTGGCCCTTGGCGATGGATCCATTCTTTTATCCTTTTACATTCCTGAAAATTAGAAAGAAAAAGGTAATAGCACAAATCAAACAGAGGCACAAACCAGATGCCCCATTTATACGGAAATGACAGAACACCTACAAGAAAACCTCCTGGAAAAGTGGAGACCAGCTATTAGGTCAGGCATCAATTCTTTGCCCAGTTTGATTCATGGGGCTATTGGAAAACGAAAAGAAAATGAGGCATTCATTGCCTTGAGCTGCTCGGAGCACAGAAAGAGGCAGAAATGAAATGAATGTATAAATAAGCAAAGCAAAGGGTGTGGCAAGGGGAGTGTAAACTGCACCATCTATTTCCAAAAGCAAAGCATTACAAATGCTAATGAGAAGTAACCCGAGTTGCTCAAAAGCAGCAACAGGAATAAATACAAGGCTGACAAGTTTATTTTCACTGGTATGTGGAAACCCTTAAGAGGAATGACCCAAACAGCAAATGTGGAAGATGCAATTACTCCATATGACTAAACCCTTGTTTATATTAATTCTCAAAGTGACAGTTCTTGATCATCCAGAACGTGCAAAGATTTTTATCTACCTTTTGCTTAGTTAGTTTCCCTGTAATCTGCAGAAGGGAAGGCAACTCCACGCTTATTGATCAACCAAATAATTAAGGATCCTGTATAGCATAGCGCCTGCTTGAGGTACATACCTGTCTGGGTGTGTCTGGGTATAATTCACCTTAGGAACCAACACACTGGAAGTCACAATCTGGATTGAATAAAACCAAATCCATAACTAAATGTGAATGTGATATTAGGGCACACTTTCAATACCTCCCCATTAGGAAGCAAAGATACCCCAACTTTCCTTCTGCTATCATAAAAAGTGGGCAGGAGCACCAAGAGCTGTTCTCTCCAAACCCCCAAATAGGGTTCCGATTCAGTAAATAAGGAATGAATATTACCTTGATATTTAATAGTACAGAGTCCATTATAAAATTTCCTACTAATCTACGGCTGGCTTCTAAAATTATCTTGGGTATTAGTACTATACCTCAAATTCTCCCACAGAACACAGACATTATAGCAGGGGAAAAAGTGATTCCTATTCTGGATTAGCCATCTCAATAATGATCTAAATAGTCTGTGTCTTTCAACCTTAATTTTTCAGAGTTAACCACAAAGACGAGGTTTCTTAAGCGTTTTCCCTTCACCTGCGGTTTAGGGTTTACTGAGTACAAAAGCATCTGTTATTGCATAATAATGACTCTCAAAAAATTTGAACGCATTTTAAAAGCAATTAAAGATTTAGAATTTTAGGTGGCAGTTAAGTAGCAGGTGCAAATGAAGCTTTAACAAAGGATGTTTCCATGTAAATAAACCTAACTGGGAAGGGGGGGAAATTCAGCTAAAATGCACCATGGCTGGATGCGGTTTGCACAGGTTATATTCCAAGAACGAGAGCGAGGTGCTGGGGCGAACCGGCTGCACTGGCCCTGCTCAGAACTCTCTTTTGACCCAGCCAAGAAGGATTCTTCTTCCTAGGAGGAGGAGAAGCAGAGGGAGAGAGCTGCCTGGGACATCTTGAGCTCTGAGACAAAAGGTGGCTGTGCAGGGAGCTCTCACTTAAAGGAAACTAATTGGGACAGGCATTCAGAGATGTGGTCATAAGCTCTGATGTCATATGACCACGCCACTTGGTGACAGCAGTCACTATGGCCGTTATGAAGTGAGGACTGCACAGGTCATTAAGCAAAGACCACACCAGACTTCTGACTCCCTGGCTTCCAAGAAAATCCAGAGGTCTTCAGTTTAGACCTACACAAATAATGTTCCAGCAAAGATCCCCTGCTTTGCTGTCATCCTAGAATCATATTCAACTTACTTTATAACAAGATCTCATCTGTATAATCTGCAGGTCCCCACCCCCACGTGCTCCTGGATTAAGAACTTTTTGACAGACAGACCACTGTCTGCTTAGACTTGGCCCCCAGCTTTCTTCCACTATTACACTCAGTACTGGTTCCCCCCAGGGTTGTCTCTTGAGCCCCCTGCTATATGCCTTGTACACCTTTGACTGCTCACCAAGCCATGCAACAAACACCATCATAAAGTTTGCGGACGACACGACCGTGATTGGTCTCAACTCCGGAGAGGATGAGACGGCATATAGGGCAGAAGTAGAGAACCTGTCTATCTGGTGTTCACAGAACAACCTGTCACTGAATGTCCATAAAACCAAAGAACTGATTATGGACGTCAGGAAACATGGACAGGACCACGCCCCACTCATCATCAATGGAGAACGAGTGGAAACTGTCCCTATAATCAGATTCCTTGGCACCTATATTTCAGCTGATATCTCCTGGTCCCCTAACACCAAGGCCATAGTGAAGAAGGCTCAGCAGGGGCTGCACTTCCTGCGGGTTCTCAGGAAGAACAATCTGGATAAGAAGCTGTTGCCGGCTTTCTATAAAGCCTCTGTGGAGAGCACTGACATATTGTCTGAGTGTGTGGTATGCAGGCTCCACAGCTGAGGACAACTGTACAGAGGGTGATAAACACAGCTCAAAAGATCATTGGTTGCCCTCTGCCCCCCTGGAAGACTTAGCCAGGTCCCCCTGCCAAAGCAGAATCAAGGCCATCCTAGAAGACCCCTCACACCCTGACAATTATCTTTTTGATCTGCTGCCGTCTGGACGTTGTTTTAGGTCAATAAAATCCCACACCACTAGACTAACAAATAGTTTCTTTCCCTGGGCCATCCTAACCGCAAATAAACACAAAGTCACTACCTTATTAAGATGTGAAATCTCAATACTCCATTCAGATGTATAATAACATATTACAGTACAATCCATCTCTTGTGTGTTATACTCGGCTAAGCATTACAGTCAGTGTTGGATGTATATTTTGTGTATATTTGTAGATATTGTACTCTCAAATTGCAAATGGAGATGCGGGTACTCTATTTTTCTTATCTTCATTTTTAAGTGCTTTGGTTTTATTGTATTGCGAACAGTTGCTGGGGTGCATCCACAGTTTCGTTGTACTTGTACAATGACAATAAACTTCTTCTAATTCTAATCTAATCTTCTGCAATTTTACTGTTGTTTTATAGTAATTGGTTTTACTGTTGTTATATACTGCCCGGAATTGCTTAAAATGGGTGACCATGTAAAACTTTTAAAGAAATAAAAACAAACAAATAGGCCCCTTCATTCCAGGCTTGGGAATAAAGCCAGGCGTCCTGCCTGATATCAGGGGAACGTGGTCCGGATCTCGGGGGGCCTGCAGTACCAAAGGACAAGTCTGGCAATGGAGAAAGCCGATGTCTTAGCTCCCAAGAGATGAGATCATTTGAATGGACCGCCTGGTCCATTCAGGCCCGCTCTACCTAATTCTACTGGGCAAGCAGAAACCACAGGAAATAAACGGGTCCTTCAATAACCAGGTCCTGTGCTGGGAAGGGCTTCATAGGTGGTTACCAATGCCTTGGATTGCACCCAGAAGCCAATAGGTAACCATGGCAGGTTGCAGAGCACTGGTGGCACATGTGGGTATGGTCGTGTGCCCATCATACACACCCCATGCCGCTGGGGCTTGAATAATTTTTTGGGGAATGACTTCCCAATTTAGGAGTGGGCCCAACTGTGTTGTGCAAAAGCCCTCCAGAGATCAGCTGCCACCTGCTCTTTGAGCACTTGGCTGTGTGTTTGGTATTATTGTTGCACAAACAAAATTAGACAAAACAGTTTTTCAGGGAAAGAGGTTCGCTCAATGTACCGTGTTTCTCATAAAATAAGGCTGGGTCTTATTTTTTTTTGAGCCCCGAAAAACGGCTAGGACGTCTTTTCGGGGGTAACTTAATTTCTTCCCCCATGTGCACCTCCACCTAGAGTGCCCCATGCGCACTCATCTCTCCATGAGGCCGCCACTGGAAGCTCCCCAAAGGTAGAGTCACCAGCCGCTTCTATTGGCCGGTAGATGCGGCCTCGGGGCGAGCACCCACGCGCACTCACCTCCCCATGAAGCTGTTTCTATCAGCTGAGGAAGCTCCCCAAAGGCAGAGTCACCAGCCGCTTTGGGGTGGGTTGTGGCTGCCTGCACGCGCACTCTCCTCGAGGCTGTTTCTATCGGCTGATGGAAGCTCCCAAAAGGCCGATAGAAACGGCTTCGTGGCGAGGGGAATGCGCATGGGAGAGTGGCTGCAAACTTTTCTTAGCAGAAGGGAAGCAAGCTGAGTTTCTCTCTCTCTCTCTCTCTCTCTCTCACACACACACACACACACATCACCCCTGCTAGCCCTCGTCCCTGCACCGGATCAGCCAAGCCCTTCTGGTGAGGGAAGGTCTCAGTACCTGCGGGGTTCCCACCACCGCCCTCCCCTCCTCAGGCCAGACCTTTTCCAGGCAACTTGCCAAAGTCCCAGGGCAGCCGACCTCCCTTTACCTGCTGCCGCCGCTGGTTTGGGGAGCAGAGGGGCCCGCCGGGAGGGAAGAGGAGGCAGCAGAGCTCGGCTACCCTTAGAAGGGAGATCGGGCGGGCTCCCGAGAGGAGACGCGGGAGCGGTCCTCATGGTAATACGGCGGAGAAGCAGGGTGAATGTGAAAGGGTCGCTGCCGCGGCACAGGAGGGTGGGAGGGAGCTGGAGCGAAGGAGGGCCAGGGAGAAGCTAAACCTTCCTTTCTATTGCTCTGGTGAGGGCTGAATATTTGCAGGGGCTGGTTGGAAAGGCCTAATTTTAGTATGAACCTTGAGTCGTGGAGGGGGAGTTGAACGGCGAACGCACTCTGCCCATGATCCGAGGCAATCCTGCCACAGCTCACGGGTGGCGCTGCTAATAGTTGGGGGGAGTTTGAGAACTTCAGCGACACCTCCTTTTCTCTCTCTCTCTGAGCGTCCGAAAGAGCACCTGTCATTAACCAATTAACCAACGCCAGCCTCGGAATCCTTTATTTCGGCATAATTCGGGATGAGAGAGGAGCCGTAAAACCAGGGACTTGGCGACAAGGTGCAGGTTCTTCTTCTTT